TCACAGATAATTCATCTGGAAGAGCTAAGATAATAAAGAGAAGCTGAAATTTGCAGTTAAGAACACATGCACATGCACACACACACACACACACACACACACACACAGAGGCACACCACATACACAGCAGAAGTATCAGGTAGAAAGAAAAAAAAGGTTATTGAAATATTCTGTTATTCTGAATAAGTAATAACAGAAAGTCCTAAAATAAAACAGAATCAAATATCTCACATAGGAAAGAAGACCATAACAGTATTTCTGGCCATTGTAATCCCACACCTCTTTCAGTAAGAACTCTGATATTCCACCCCAAGGCTGTTCTACTCTTAGCCTTCCCCATATCAGCTGAGAGCAATCAATCATATCCTTCTTGCTCAGGCCAAAATCCTTGGAGTTATTCTAGACCCTTTTTTTAAAATTTATTTTTTCATTGTTTATGAATATTCATAGGATACAAAGCTGGCTGTCACCACTTGTGCCCAAAATGTGCTGGCCAGACCAATTCTGACAGCATGCCCATTATCACAAATTGTAATTATACCCCATGTCCCCCACCTAATTAATCACCAACTTCCCTCTCACTCCGTCGTTCCCCCACTCCACTTTGCCACCCTATGCTCTACCTCTGCAAGTCCAATGCACCACTGTAGTCTTTCTTTCCTTCCTTCTTTCTCTCTTAGCTCCCACTTATGAGTGAGTACATGTGGTATTTATTTCTCTGTGCTTTGCTTTTTTCACTCAACATAAGTTTCTCCAAGCTCATCCATGTTGTTGCAAATGGGAGAATTTCATTCTTTTTTATGGCAGAGTAGTATTCCATGATGTATGTATACCACATTTTCCTTATCCAATCATCCATTGATGGACATTTAGGTTGGTTCCATATCTTGGCTATTGTAAACAGAGCTGCGATAAACGTGGGAGTGCAGGTATCCCTTCAACATGATGATTTCCATTCCTTTGGGTATATACCCAAAAGTGGGATTGCTGGATCGAATGGTAGATCTATCTGTCGTTGTTTGAGAAACCTCCATACTGTTTTCCATAGTGGTTGTACTATTTTACAGTCCCACCAACAGTGTGGGACTCAGAGTTGGTGGCCCAGGAAACTGCTTCATCTTGGTCTCTTTGGAGGCTCTGAAACACTTCTCTCTTTTTTTCTCCTATTCTGTAAGGCCGCCCCTTATCTTACTTTTCTGTTCTTTGTTTGTGCCCTCTTCAACTTGTCTTTGTCCCCGTGTTTTTATCTCCTGGTGCTGGCCTTTCCCAGACTCAGCCCTCCATCCTGCTCCTGACATTTTGCCTTCTGCCTTGGAAACAGGCACCTGCGGCGCAGTGAGATGACAGTGTAGGAGCGTTCCCTTCTCTCCACATCCTTTCCAGCATTTGTTATTCTCTATCTTTTTGATTATAGCCAATCTCACTGGGGTGAGGTGATATTTCAGTGTGGTTTTAATTTGCATTTCCCTGATGATTAGTGAGTTGAGCATTTTTTGTACCTCTTCACCATTTGTAGTCTTCCCTAGACTCTTTCAAGAAATCCTATTCACTTTATACTTAGAATCCAACCTCTTCTCACCACCTTCACTACTACTACTTTGGTCTACACTACTATCATTTCTTGCCTGGATTTACCACAGAAACTTCCTAACTAGTCTTCTTGCCCTTATCTATGTTTCCCTCTCCCAAATCAATGCTCAACATAGCAACCAGGGTGATACTTGTAAAATGTAGGTCAGATCACATCACTCCTTTGTTTAAAACCCTGCTCTGGTTTTACATTTAACACAGAGTAAAAGCCAGAGTCCTTTCTACAATGGCCAGCATGATCCATGCCTCTTTTCCTCTCTGACCTCATTTCTTTTAACTCTCTTTTTCATTGTGCTTCAGCTACACTAGCCTCCTTGCTGTTCCTTAAATATGCTACACCTGCTTCTTAGTTTCGAGTGTTTGCACTGGATGTTTCTTTGCCTGGAACACATTTCTTCCAGATAGTTATCTGGCTAACTCCCTCACTTCTTCATGTCTGCTCAACATCATTGTCTCAATAAGGCCGACATGAAAACTTTTATTTAAAATTGCAACTTGCATTCTGATCCTCCTTTCCCACTCTACTTTTCTTTTTTCATAATAATTCTTACCTTCTAACAAACTATTTGATTTACTTACTTATTATGTCTGTTGTTTATTGTATGTATCCCCCCTCTAAACTATAAGTTCCAGGAGGGCAGAAATCTATGCCTAAGTTCATTTGTTCCTATATCCCAAATGCTTCAAATAATGCCTGGCGTAGAGTTAGTGTTCAGTTATTTATTGAATTAATTTATGCATGATAATGAACCAAAAGCACTTCACCCTTGGCCGGAGCCTGGAGTCAGACTCATTGTATGAACTGGGTCTATGCGAGGGCTAACCTTCCCATAAACAGAGGCTAGAAAAAATGGCCACTGTTACATGTGGCTTTGCTTGTGTAGAGCTGCATTTCTGCTTTCTTGTCATGGCTGGAGAAAGCTTTTGCCCACCTGTTGCCCACATGTTCAGTAACATTGGGGGATTTAACTGTAAAATAGGAGTCCTGAGCAGTTGATATGAGATTGGGTGGGGAGTTGGGTATAGGAGTAGATGGAGGCAAATAAAAAATTCAAAGGGCACTTAATTTCTCTATGTGAGAACTGGGAGCAAGACTTTTGAGTACGGGCTGGGCAGAGAAGAACCATAGAGGCTTGAAGCTTTGAGAGGTGGAGAGAAGAAAGGGACCCAGTGATTAGCAGTACAGGAGATGTGCTAGGAAAATAAGTGTTAAAGGGGAGGGCAATTGGAGATATGGTGTTAAGATATGTGTTACAGACCTCTTCTGTTTTTCCTGTGGAATTAGATAAAATCTAGAGTGTTTTGATGTAAGTGAATTCTTTTCAGAGAATGGGAAGAGATTGTGTACCCTTAGTCAGAGTTGGCACAGGGTGAGAATAGGCACATATGGGGAAATTTGACATCTGGATTACATGTAATTAGGAAGAATAGTGATGGATTGGGATAAGAGAGAGGCATTTGGCAATGAGGAGATCGTTGATGACCTTGAAAAGAGTAGTCTGTGTGAAATGGCAAGGGCAAAACCTAGGATAGAGTGAATTGGTGTGAATGAGAGATGAGGAAAAAGAAACAGCCCAAATAAGCAACTCTTTAAAGAAGCTTAACTGTGACTCAAAGAGAATTTAGGATTAAAAGATTTTTTTTTTCAAACTGGTGTTATCAGAAGTTTGTATGCTTGTTGATGAGAAGGAACCATTAGACTGAGAGTTTATGACGTTAGTGGGGCTGGCTGATGTGAGGAAGTGAAGTATCTGAGAAAGGAAGAGGAGATGAGGCCCATAGCACATGCAGATAATGGAGGAGAAGAGAGAGAAGGGGTGCAGATACAGGTAGGTTTATAGTTTTGATGGTAGGTATAGTGGCATTGTTTATGGGGGAGCTACTGGTTTGGTAGTGATATCAAATACTTTCCCCTTTGCTGCCCTGCTTACCAATACATATGCCACTCTTAGTAAGGTCTAAATTATTGGTGTTTTCTTTGAAGATCCAGTGCCACAGCTTTATAGGTGATATCTAACCTTGTAAAATAGGAGCAAGACCCTCCACTATAATTTAATAGTTTTAGAATATGTAGCTAGATATTTAGATATGGGCATTCCAGTAGTTTTTCTGTATTATCTGAGATATGTATAATATATCTTCAACTATATGGACCATCATAAGATTCTAGCTTACCTCATCTGCTGGTCCTCTTATGTTCCAGCCCTACTGAGCAATTGTTGATCCCTGAACATGCCCTGTTATTTCTTGCATATACTATACCAATAGAGTTCAGGAATCTATTCCACCTGTGTATTCTGAATCCTAGAGGGCAGGCTCCATGTTTCGTGAGTCCCTTTATCACCAGGTAGTTCTTTCTGTTTAGTGGATTCTCAATAATCATTTATTAAAATTAATAAATACTGGATAGTTGAGGAATTATGCCATGAGCATCAAAACTTTTAGAATTGTAAACATTTAGGATTACAATCCTCTTATGCTTTTATGCATATTTATTGCCTTCCTAAGAAGTAAACTGAACAAAATTTTACTCTGTTAAGATTTTAGGGGAATCATGATACAGATGCTAAAGTCTACTAGTAAATACCCTTATGCAGAGCTCATGTGACACCAAATGGCTTAGCCTATTAGGCTTTTGGAGTGCTTAAGTCTGTTTTGTGGAGCTGTTAGTTTTCTTTCTTTCTTTTTTTTTTTTTTAAGATGACTGGTAAGGGTATCTCAACCCTTGGCTTGGTGTTGTCAGCACCACGCTCAGCCCGTGAGCCAACCGACCATCCCTATATAGGATCCGAACCCATGGCCTTGGTGTTTGTTATCAGCACCACACTCTCCCGAGTGGGCCACGGGCCGGCCGTTGGAGCTGTTAGTTTTCATCTTATTTTTCTTAGTGCATCTGACTAGTAGCTATTCTTCCCTTTTTCATTTTCTGCTTCTAGTCTACTGATGAATCTGTTTGGAAAACTAAGCACATACTTTAGAAATGAAACTATGAATAAATAGACTCTATAGGGTTTTTCTGGGAATAAAACTTTGCAGTTTGGTGTATGGAACTCCTCGTCTCTATCCATTCACTGCTTTTGGGGGTCAGCACTACAATTATGGCACAAAGGGAGAATGTGATCCTTGTCTTGAGTGTGTTCAGGTTTAATATCTCTTTGTGGCACAGGCCTTTCTGTGGTTCCCAGCTATATTTCAGGTAATGGTTCTTTTTCATTTATTTTGTAGTTTGAGAGATGTATTTCGCATATAAGTAATAGGGTAGGGGTTTGAATAAAGAGTCTTGTTTTAGTCCTCTTAATGGGGTCTTATATAGGATTATAACTAGAATTATAAGACTTTTTTTTAAGACCAAGGTTACAAAAAATAATAAAGATAATGAAGTGTATGTCTTTTATTTTTCTCTCCTATAGGAAATACAGATGAAGAGAACTGCAATTGAAGCTTTTAATGAAACAATTAAAATATTTGAGGAGCAGTGTCACACACAAGAACAACATAGCAAAGAATATATTGAGCGATTTCGCAGAGAAGGAAATGAAAAGGAGATTGAACGGTAAATCTACTTAATACCTCTAAGTGCATCCCCGATAATTCCTGTCTTGTCTGCTTTTACCTCTCAAACTGCATAGTCCTAACAGATGGAACTACTTGCTGTTCCCACTAATGGCACCAAACTCAACCTCTTCTCTGATGTGCTCTGTCTTCATCCCCCCAAATTGTTAACTCTTGTTCATCCTTTAGAACTCAGCTTAGACATGACTGTTTTTGGAAAATGTTGCCTGATTCCCCAGATCAGTTCAGGGGCTTTTTGTCAGTGTCCCTACAGTGTCTGGTCCTGATCTCTAGTGTAACATTTTACTGAATGCTATGCCCACACAACTGCAAGTTGAGAGTAGGCATGGTGGCTTATTTTCCCTGATAGCACCAGCACCTATTATGGTGCCTGGGAGTAAGTAAAGGGTGCTCATTGATTTTTTTTTTTTTTTTTAACTAAAATCAACTTTGGCAGCAGTCTGAGAATAAATCAGAATGGAACAAGATTGTAGGCAGAAAGACCAGCTTGACTGTCGTTGTAGGTGGTTGCAGTGGTTGTGGTTAACAAATTAAAAGATGGTGAGGGCCTGGACCAGAGCAGTGGCAGAAAAGATTGGAGCATTAATAGAAATGATGAGGACCAGATATGGGAGATGTGGGAGAAGTCAAAGATTATTTCTAGATTTCTGAGTGACTGGGAAATGGTATTATTCACCAAAATAAAAAGTACATGAGGAGAGTTCAGGGTTTGAACCAATGAGTTTGAAGTTCCTGTGAGAACCCAGGTGGAGCTGTCTGGGAGGCAGGCAGCTGGTTGTTTGGATTTGGAACTCAGGGTACAGAAAGGATTTGGGAGGCATAAGTGTGTAGGTGATGGTAGATGCTAAGAATGAGATTATTCAGAGAGCAAGAAGCCTGAGAAGTATTGAATGTACCAACTAAAATGATATTGGAAGCCTTTATCAAAGCAAATTTAATGGAGTATTTGAAGACTGAGCTAGATAATAGACTGAAGAGTGAAAAGATGTGAGAAAGTGAGTAATAAATAAAAATAAACCATATACAGTGGAAAAGGAAAATTATTTCTAATATTAGCAAAACTGTTAGTGAATTTCTGTGTGCATGAGGATAGAGCTAAGTGCTGTGAGGCTGTGTAGCTTAATAGTTAAAACTACGAACTTGAATTCTGTATTGGCCATTTACTAGCCGTGTAACCTTGAGTGAGTTACTTAACCTGTCTGAGTCTGTTTCCTTCTCCATAAACTGTGGATAATGTCTTGTTGGAAAGCTGTGAGAATTAAGTAATATATATAAGGGTACTTCAAAAAGTTCATGGAAAAATAGAACTAAAAGATAATACAATCTTTCAATGAATTTTTTAAAGTACCCTCATATTTTGACACATGGAAGGCTTTCAGTAAATGGTAATTATTATTATTAATAATGAAGAAATAGAAAATAACATAGTTTAGTTGCAGAGGGAGGCAAAGTAGTATGATGAAGTTTTAATAATAATAATATAAAGCCACATATGAGGGTACTTCAAGAAGTTCATGGAAAAATAGAATTAAAAGATGATGTTAATCTTTCCATGAACTTTTTGAAGACCCCTCATATTATTAAGTGACATATGAGTAGTGTGGACAATTGTTACCATAGGAGTTCAGAGCATAGCAGAACTTTGCATGCTGGAAAGGCTTATAGCCATCATCTATTGCGTGCTTACCAAAATGTGCCAAGCAGTGTTCTAGTTCTTTTACATGTACAAAGATACTTTAAAAAATTTGTGGAAAATAGATTTAAAAGATAATATGAATCCTTCAATGAATTTTTTGATGACCCGTTGTATTATGACATTTAATTAGAACAATAACCCAGTGAAGTAGATACTGTTCTAGGTACCCATTTTAAACAGATGAGGAAGTGAAGGCACAGAGAAGTTAAGTAATTTGTCCATAGCCCCACAGTAAACGGCATGTAGAGATTCAAAACTAGGCAGGCTAACTTCAAAGCCATTATTGTTAACTGCTATGCTGTGCTACCTCTTGAATATTGTACATATAGCTGTACTTGTTCCGTCATGGCTGGATCCAGGGCCCAAACAAGGTCATGGGGTTTCTCTCTCACATTGTCTTTTGACCCAGTTTTTCTCTGGATTGGCTTTATCCTCAGGCAGGCTTTCCCTTTGAGATGGTAGTACAGCTACTGGGAGTCCTAGAATCACATATTCATAACTTAGCAACTAGAAAGAGAGAATCTCCTTTTACAATAGTTTTAGCGAAAGTCCTGGAATTGACTCTCATTGGGTCAGTTTGGGTCTTACTCTATTTCTGAACCAGTGACTGGCCTGAGAGTAAAGATAGGATGGAATAGAATGGAATACTCTTATTGGCCAGTCTGAGCCTTATGTATGTCCATTCCTGGGTCTGAGATGAGGTCAGAGAACTCTTACCTAAAGGGAACATCAGGGTGCTATTACTAGAAGAATGGGAATGGATACGAGCCATGCAAAGATAACAGATGTCTAACACACTTAAGATACTAGGATCGTGCTCACACTATAGGGTCTTTCTATATGATTGCTATTTTAGCCTTAATGTGTCAAATATTTTCACAGAATTATGATAAATTATGATAAATTGAAATCACGTCTGGGTGAGATTCATGACAGCAAAATGCGTCTAGAGCAGGATTTGAAGAAACAAGCTTTGGACAACCGGGAAATAGATAAAAAAATGAATAGTATCAAACCTGACCTGATTCAGCTGCGCAAGATCCGAGATCAGCACCTTGTGTAAGTAGTCTGGGACTGTATGGGGAGGTAGACACTGGCACCAGATGACTCCTGGCACTAGAGATGTTAGAGGTGGAAAAAGAGAGTTATAATTGAGAATTGGCCGGTGAGATGGTAAGAACTTAGGACCCCTTCCACCACGTGAGGACACAGCCTAGGAGCTGTTTGTAGTAGGGGGTACCAGAGTTTACCTGAAGTCAGTGTGTGGGGCAAACCAGAATGTAGGACTATAATTCATAGAAATGCTTAGAAATCTCAGTGGGTGGCTGTGGCATGAGCAAAGTGATATAGCTTAGAAAGTACAGATTAATGTTTGCCTAAAACACAAAAACCAGCATCTTTGGTTACATGGTCGAACTACAGAAATAGAAATTACTCCTCAGAGGCACAGGAAAGGACACCAACCATGGGAGCCTACAAATAAATACACAGAACAATTTCTTAAAGAATTTTTATATTTAAGAAATGAAATTCTGTGTTTAAATAACAGAAATGTGTCTATAGTAGGCACTAGAGATAATTTGAGTAATGAAACCCAACTCTTTAATATTAGGGAAAGCTATATTATTTAGCCAAATATAAGCATAAACGGGATATTATCTAAATACAGATTGAAAGATTATATTATCAGAAAAAAATGTGTGGATTAGAGTTTTAGAAAGAGAAATGACTGCTTCATAGAAGGAGAGAATCAATGAGAAAGGAAAATATATTTGGCTTAGTTCCAGGTAATGAATAGACTGTTATGAAGTATATTTACAGGTGACCTTCATGCATGTAACACCATTCAATTTAAACTCCTGGCAGAAGACAAAGACTTCTGACCGTGGGTTTTCAACAGACTTCAGGGTTTCTTAATGTGAGAAAGGGGGAAGGGATAAAATACAGGCCTAGAGATTGGAATGGTGGCAGATGAGTTTCAGTCGAGGAATATTTAAGGTGATATTTTTCGGGGTGAACAATTACAACTACACTATGCTAAGTAGTTTTTAAAAACACCTCTCTCAAGAGATCATTTCAGTTTGCTTTGTGCCCAAGAAAACGTCAAGCAAGCATACATAGCATACAGAAGAGCTTTGTAAACAAGGCAGGGAGGTACCCTTATCTAAAAACAAGGTGTATCTGCTCTTGGAATGCTCATGTGGTTCTGGTCACATCATGAAGCTGAAGAAAGACCCAAGAAAGCTATGCCATGGACCAAAGGAATGGATGGAAGCTTTTCTTTGCCCTGAAAAGCAATAAAGATATTAAGAAATGTACCATCTCAAGGGGCACGAATAAGTGTGGTGACTTAGTCCATTCAGGCTGCTATATAACAGAATACCATAAACTGGGTAGCTTATAAACAACAAAATTTCTCAGTTCTGGTGGTTAGGAAGTCCAAGATCAAGGCGCTGGCAGATTCAGTATCTGGTGAGGGCCTGTTTTCTGGTTCATAGATGGCAGCTTCTAGCTGTATCCTCACATGGTGGAAGGAACAAGGGGTCTCTCTCAGGCCTCTTTTGTAAGGACACTAATTCCATTCATGAGGGCTCTGCTCCCATGACCTAATCATCTCCCAAACTCCCCACCTCCTAATGTTATCACCTTGAGGGTTAGGATTTCAACATATGAATTTTGGGAGTACACAATCACTCAGACCATAGCATGTAGCAAACCAGACCTTGAAAGTTCCTTTAATGGTTGTGTAAGCTAAATATAAAACCCAGACTGCTTTGCAAATTGGCTGCACTATTTTACATTCATACCAACAGTGATGGTCTGGGTTTCTTAAAGTAATGAATCACTCCTTAGCATATTTCTTTTTTTTTTGTTCCTTTTTGTCTTTTTTCGTGACTGGTAACGGGATCGCAACCCTCGGTGTCGTGCCCGCACTGCGCTCAACCAGTGAGCGGACCGGTCTCTACATGGGATCCGAACCCTCGGAGGGAGCGCCACTGCGCTCCCAAGCGCTGCACTCTACCGAGTGCGCCACCGGGCCGGCCCAGTCCTTAGCATATTTCTGATAACTAAATTTTTTTTTTCATGACCGGCAACAGATCGCAACCCTCAGTGTCGCGCCCGTACCGGACCGGGACCGGCAACGGCAACGGGATTGCAACCCTCGGTGTTGCCCCCGCTCCTCGCTCAGCCAGTGAGCGGCCGGTCTGTATGTGGGATCCGAATCCTCAGCGGGAGCGCCGCCGTGCTTCCCAAGTGGCGCACTGTAGCAGTGCGCCACCGGGCCGGCCCCTGATAACTAAATTTTTATAAGATTTTTCTTTTCAAAGTGTTGTATGCATTCTCTCACTTTACTCTTATGAAGGGTATGGTGTTCTTGTTCACAAAACTTGGTGCAAGACAAGTTGCATTGCTCTTTTTCTTTAAATTAAAATTAATTTATTCCAAGCTGTCATCTGCCTGGTTATACAGGAAATATTTAACTTCAGTTATGGTTGGAGCTCTTCCCACCTTTTGCCTCCCCCCTACCCAGGCCCCAACACACACAGCTGGATTGTATGAGTGTCATTCTGAAGTAGTGCCAGGAAACTAAGGGAGCACAAAGTCCTTTGTCCTTCCCTTCTGACTATCATTAGGTGATTTTCTGCTCCTAATCATTGGGTTCTGCCATCTGGTTAAATACCTCTATTCCAGAAAATTCAGAGGTGCCCTTCACAGTAATCTCATAGGCCACCAACAGACTCTGCATCTTAAATTCTTCTTGTCATCCATCCAGGGTGCCCTGTGCATGAGTCACTCTTTTATGTCACCCCATTCCATACTTCAGCCATGCTCTAGGGAAGCTTAGACTCTGCTCCAAGACTGCTAATTCAGCTTCAGAGTACTTTTTACTATCCCCTTCTCTCAGGGACTTCCCAGCTTAATCCTCTTGTCTTGGACCAACAAGCTCTTTTCCTCTTAAAGTGTGTGGTAGTTGAGTTGTAAGGCCAATTATATCTTTAGAAAGAAAACTATATATACATATTTCCCCCCACTTGCTGGGGTGGGGGCCAGGAAAGAATATGCTAACATCAGCTATATTTTTCTCTTTTCTTTCTTAAGATAACTTTGATGTAAGCTATGGGAGTAATATTTTCCCTGTTTTTTATTTATTTTTTTTATTTTTATTTTTATTTTTTTTGTCTTTTTGTCTTTTTTCGTGACCGGCAACGGATCGCAACCCTCAGTGTCGTGCCCGTACCGGACCGGGACCGGCAACGGGATCGCAACCCTCGGTGTTGCCCCCGCTCCTCGCTCAGCCAGTGAGCGGGAACCGGTCTGTATGTGGGATCCGAACCCTCGGCGGGAGCGCCACCGCGCTTCCCAAGCGGCGCACTGTAGCAGTGCACCACCGGGCCGGCCCTTTTCCCTGTTTTTTAGAAGAGATGACTGAGGCACAGAGAGAGGCTGGTTCAAGACTACACAATTAGTAACAGAATTAGAACTGGATGTTAGGTCTTTTGATGCTTTGCCTCAGATTTATTCTTTAAAATTTACTGCCTTTTCATATGATCAAGGCATTATTCAATAAGTTAAGTATGAATTGACATATTTACTTAAGTTTATTTGAGCTTTTTCAAAACGATTTTTAAAAGCTTGTCAGTTCCTAGCATTGTTAATAGATGTTTACGGACTCAGAACTATATAAGTCTTCAAAATGGACTTTACAGAGATTAGAAAAGTTGCCTATGTTAGAAGGTGGGCACCATCATAGATGGAGGGTGGAACAAAAATGTTTATTCTCTACTTCCTTTTTTCCTGGCCTTTCCTGGACGTCCTAACATTCCCTATGGAGAGGGAAGCTGAATTTAAAGAGATGGGTGGTTAAAAGAAAATTGGGTATCCAAGAGAAAATGTGGTATGGTTTATTCAATCAAGACTTTTACCTAGTGTGCATGTGTCTTCAGTAAAGTGAAGGGAAGTTTCTTTTTTTTTTTTTATAAAGATGACCGGTAAGGGGATCTTAACCCTTGACTTGGTGTTGTCAGCACCACACTCAGCCAGTGAGCGAACCGGCCATCCCTATGTGGGATCCGAACCCGGGGCCTTGGTGTTATCAGCACCGCACTCTCCCGAGTGAGCCACGGGCCGGCCCGAAGGGAAGTTTCTTTAAGGATAGAAAACTTTGGGTGATAAGAATGTTTTGAGGAAGGTAACTGGATATTTTAATAGAGAAGTCATGGTGTGTGGGGGGGTTTGTTACTAAATAAGTTCTATCAAGATCACATATTATCTATTTTCCAGCTTCGCTAAACATAAAAATTGAAATCCAGGTTAACTGAAGGGCATGTCTTTCTGAGCAAGGCTGTGAAATCTGTCTAAAAGAAGTTTAAAATTAGTTGTAATGCTAAGTTTTCTACTATACTCAGGGTATACCAAATGGTTCTGGAGTTGTGAGGATTTTGTTAAAAGTATCCCACCAGTAAATATTTACTATTTATTAAATATCTATTTGTTTGCACTCTTTTAAGTATTGGGAATATAGCAGTGAGTAAGACAGACCCCTTTCTTTAAAGCAACTTAGCGTTTAGTGGGGAGAGACAAATATAAACAATGGAAATATAAAATAATGAATTTTTAGCTAAGTGCTATGAAGATGATTAAGTAAAATGTGGAGAATGCCTGGGGAATGCCTTAGTTGGAACAATTAGGGTAGTACTCCCTGAGGAAATGATGTTTATGATAAGATCTGATCAGGAGCCCTGGTTGAGGTGTGGTGACGAATTTATATTCCACTCCGGTTTCAGACCATTGGCAATTTGAAAGGAACTAAATGTGATGTTTTACATCATTTTACATCTAAAATGTTGGAATGTTTTAAGAAACTGTGATTTGCTTGGTTATGAAGTAAACTCATGCTAATTACTCAGATTGCTACCTAGGATTTTTCATGGCTTCCTTAGGTGCAAAAATGGATCTTGAAATTTTTGGTTAGAACTTTAAACTCAATTCAGTATGCCACACAAGAAACGGGTCCTCTGGCTTAGTGGAGATTGCAAATGTGACACCATGTTCACCTAACTAATGATTTCAGAAATAAAGGTCCCACACACTGTGCGTGAGTGCAAGTATGTGTGTACTTGTAGTGGTATAACCTAGAAAAGAAAAATGGAAATGAGAGAAGTGCCTAATTTCAAGTAGCTCTCTGCGTTTCTGCCTTTTTGCAGAAAAGATTAATTCATCATGATATTAGTTGAAAGAAAGTAATGGAGAGACTAATTTCAGGAAATCTCTGGCCACTCTTCATGGGATTAGGGAAATTAAGAGAAATAAGAGGTTCCTGGACTCTGGAAGTTTGGTTGGCTAATATCTCCTTTGTCCAGGCAGAGTTTACATAGATACTGACACTGGTGTCTTCCCTCTGGCAGATGGCTCAATCACAAAGGAGTGAGACAGAAACGCCTGAATGCCTGGCTGGGAATCAAGAATGAGGATGCTGATGAGTAAGTTATCTCTATACCTTTCTGTCAGAGGGCTTTGTTCCCCAAATAGAGGGCTTCTTTATACATGTTAAATGTTGGTTCTCATTGTCACTAGAGGACACTCAATCAAGAACTTTGTAACTCTTTTGAATTGAATTGCCTGAAGTGTATCCTGTGGGCACTTGAATTCAGAGACCTGCCCAGCCACATGAAATCTGAATGCATAAGCACTGCTATTCAGATATTCACATTTTAGTTTATTGGATGAGACATGACTTCTATGATTTCTGCACCATAGCAAGTAATGAAGTTGTTTAAAAGTACCCAACAAGTTCGCTTTGCCATTTTTGGTTAAAGATTTAGAAGAACATTTTATTCATTAACTTGCTTTTAGATATAAATAACTGATTGTTAGAATAATATTTTAACATTTAATTTTTAGGACCTATTTTATCAATGAGGAAGATGAAAACCTGCCCCATTACAATGAGAAAACCTGGTTTGTTGAGGATATCAATCGAGTACAAGCAGAGGATTTGCTTTATGGGAAACCTGACGGTTCATTCTTAATTCGTGAAAGTAGCAAGAAAGGATGCTATGCTTGCTCTGTGGTGTAAGTCTTCTCTGGGGGTATGACTTTTTGAAACCTTCTGCATTGATTAATAGAAAATCAACCCCTCCTAAAATTCAGATGAAATTAATTAAAATAATGAAGACCTTTAATATTTCTACAAAGAAAACAGTTTTAGGGGAAATGATATGTGGAATTATCTTGGGGATTTTAATTTACATGGTAAGCAGATTAGGCCCTGTAGTGTTGCTATTGGATTTCAGGCATCTATAAAAAGTAATGTGAAATTGAAAAAAAACACTTAATTCTTTAGGAGCCTCTGGTATGCCTGATGGACATGGCAGAAGGCAAAGATGACAAAGTGTGCCTTCAAAGAGGGCAGAGTAAGAGAGGTAGACAAAAGGCATTCATATTAGTAGAGTGCTCAGTGCTTTATAAGATCATCTTGTCTTTAGTGGTCTACTTCTGTCATGGAGTTCCAGTTTGAATCCAAGTTTACCTGGTTTCAAAACCCACATTTTTCTATTGTTCCAGGGTTTCTTCATTTCACTAAATATCTAAGATAAGTAAAATCACTGTGAAAAATAGGTATCTTTAGTAGGCCATGTACATGCAGAACTGTTAATTCTGATGGAGAAAGAGAGGGTTTGGAGGTTTTGTGGAAGAGGCATTTGAGCTGGATCTTGAAAGGATGAGTGGGATATATAGGGGCAGAAAATGGGGGAGGAGTTGAAGTGCATTTGATTATTGTTATTCAAAGATAGAAGTACTTGCAACATTTCATTTCTCTTTGACTTGGGCAGCTCAAGTTATCTGAGTGGAAATGACAAGAGAGAATGATTCCTGCCAGATTTGGGATCTTTTAAGAATAGTAACGGAAGGAAGGCAGTAACCCCAATCCCTCATCCTCACCCAGGTCATTAGGTAGCAGCCTGTAGGTTAAGGACATAGCTGGTAGAAGGTGTTTCCCAACAGCTTGACTAATCCCTGGGAAACTGAGCAGCAGCTTGAATATGTTGGGTAACTGTATTCTTGTTTTCCTTCCATTAGCAACAGAATTGACCAGACCAAAATCCATAGCAGTGTAGATTTTCTTTGCCTATGGAAACTAACTGCAGTCAATTTATATTGGAGTTCAAATTGAGGATGGTTGGAAGCAAGAGAGGCTGGCTTCACAAAAGCTTCTACTTGTTTGCCAGCCACTCTGGCTATAGAAAGCCTGCCTCCAGTGACCTCTCAATATACTTAAGATATTTGCTGAAGTAAGGATCTGAGTAAGTTCAGTTTTTTAGGAGACTCTCATAGCAAAATTAAAATGATTATGTAGTAGGACATCAGGGGATGGAACTCATTTGTTTTTCCATTTTAACCTTATGATGTTAATAACATCATAAAGCAGCCTAAGAAGAAGTTCCTGAACTCCACGGCCTTCTCAACTAACGATGCATGTATTCCATGGGGTTGGTTGGGGTGTCAGGTAATGAGAAATCATGATCCTTATTGTTGTTACCATTTGGAAAATAGAAATTTTATTAGGGATAGAACAACTAGATAGAAGATCAACGAGGAAATAGAAAACTTGAACAACACTATAAAACAACACTCCACCCAACAACAGCAGCATTTACATTCTTCTCAAGTACACATAAAGTATTATCCAAAATTGACTGCAGGTTCGGTCATAAAACAAGTGTCAATAAATTAAAAAGAACTGAACTCATACAAAGTATGTTCTCCAACAACAATGGAATGAAATTAGAAATCAAAAGCAGAAGGAAATTTGGGAAATTCACAAATATGTGGACAGTAAACAACATACTCCTAAATAACCAATGGGTCAAAAAAAGAAAACAAGGGAAATTAGAAAATACTTTGAAATGAATGAAAATGGAACATATCAAAACTTATGGGATACAGCTAAAGCAGTGCTAAGAGGGAAATTTATAGCTGTAAGTGTCTATGTTAAAAAGAATGATCTCAAATTGGCTGACCTTCTGTCACCTTAAGAACTAGAAAAAAAGCCAACTAAACCCAGCCAAGCAGAAGGAAGGGAATAATAAAGATTAAAAATGAAGTAAATGATATAGAGAATAGAAAACAATTGAAAAAAATCAATGAAACAAAAGGTTTGTTCTTTGAAAAAAATCAACAAAATTGACAGCATCAAGCTAAACTGGCCAAAAAAAGAGAGATGACAGAAATTACTTAAATCAGGATGAAAGAAAGGACATTTTTATAGAAATGAAAAAGATAACTAAAGGAATACTCTAAATAATTGTATACCAACAAATTAAATAACTGATATTTATTGTTGGACAAATTTCTGGAAGTATGCAAACTACCAAAACTGATTCAAGAAGAAATAGAAAATCTGAATAGAATGTAACAAGTAAAGAAATGGAATTATTAATGAAAAACCACCCACAAAGAAAAGCCCAGGCCCAGATGGCTTCACTGGTGAATTCTACCAAATGTTTAAAAAGAATTAACACCAATCCTTTACAAACTCTTCCAAAGAAATAGAGGAGGGAACACTCTCAAACTCATTCTATGAGGGCAGTGTTACCCTGATACCAAAAGCAGACAAAGACATCACAAGGAAAGAAAACTACGGACCTTATGAATATATAGACATAAAAATCCTCAATAAAATATTAGCAAAGCAATTCCAGCAGCCTATAAAGAAGATTATGTACTATTATGAAAAAGGATTCATCCCAGGAGTACAAAGGTGGTTCAACATAGAAAAATCAATCAATGTAATAAACTTTATTAATAAAGGAGAAAAATCACAGGATTGTCTTAATAGATGCACAAAAAGCATTTAATAACCAACTCTTCCATGTTAAAAAACACTGAACACCAGTTAGCTCAGTTGGTTAGAGTGCAGCCTTACAATAGCAAGGTCACAGATTCAGATTCCTGTACCAGGCAGCCACCAAAAAACAAAAAAAACTGAACAAAGTAGGAATAATAGGGAACTTCCTCAACCTCAAAGGGTATCAGTGAAAAACTGACAGCTAATATCATACTTAATGATGAAAGACTGAATGCTTTCTCCTAAGATCAGCAAGAGGACGAGGATGTCTGTTCTAAACACTTCTATTCATCATTGTATAGGAGGTTCTATCCAGGACAATTAGACAAGAAAAAGAAATAAAAGACATCCAGATTGGAAAGGAAGAAGTAAACTATTAGAGCAAATAAATGGTTCAGCAAGATTGCAGGTTACAAGACACAAAGGTGTATTTCTATATATTAGCAATGAACAATTCAAAAATGAAATAAATGTAATGAGGCACTGGCTGGTTAGCTCAGAGAGTGGCCTTATAATGCTAAGGTCAAGGGTTCGGTTCCCTGTGCTGGCCAGCCGCCAAATTAAAAAGAAAAAAGAAACGAAGACATTCCATTCACAATAGCAGCAAAATGATGAAACATATAGGAATAAAACAAAGGAAGTATGAGTTGTACAGAGAAAACTACAAAACATTGTTCAGAGAAATTAAAGAGGACTTAAACAAGTGAAAAGACGTCACATGTTCACAGATCAGAAGACCTGCTATTGTTAAGATGGCAATTCTTCCCAAATTGATTTACACATTCAACGCAATTCTATCAAAATCCCAGTTAGTTATTTGCAGAAGTTAACAAGATGATCCTAAAATTCATATGAAAATGCAAGGGACCCAGAAAAGCCAAAACAATCTTTAAAAAAAATAGAAAAAAGTTGGAATACTCACACCCCTTGATTTCAGAACTTACTAAAAAGCTTTAATAATCAAGACTGTTATGTCCTGATGTAAGGACAGACATATAGATCAATTAATAGAATTGAGAGTTGAGAAATAAACCCTTATATTTATGGTTAGTTATTGTAACCAATCTATATCTGTGGCCAAGTCTATAAGAGGGTGAGGGGAACACAATTTTATAAGCTTTGTCTGATTGACAAAACACTTCTACTTCTCCTCCTGTGTATAACGAGTGCTCTCAGACTTCTGGCTATTATCTATCTACCTTAACATTTTTCATTTGGTTTATCATTGCAGTGCTGATGGGGAAGTGAAGCACTGTGTGATCTACAACACTGCTCGCGGCTACGGCTTTGCAGAGCCCTACAACTTGTACAGCTCACTGAAGGAGCTGGTGCTCCATTACCAGCAGACATCCTTGGTTCAGCACAATGACTCCCTCAACGTCAGGCTTGCCTACCCTGTCCATGCACAGATGCCCTCGTTCTGCAGATAAAGAGGGAGTGGGAAAAGAGGTGGCTCTCCAGCATTCTTTTCTACAGTTTTTATTAGACTATGATGAGGGCATTCTTTCTACATAGACTGCTTGTTTTGCACAAGAAGTGATTCTGTGAATGTGAAGTGGAGAGGCCGAACAGCAGCCGGCCAGGAGTGGGGCATTAGGGGCCTGGGGTTCTCTGGACTCATCGGTGCCGCCACACTGACATACTAAGCTGGAAGCAGATTTTTTTGGAAAGTCTTTTCCATTGGGGTTTTTGTTTTGTTTAGCCAAGCACCCTCAAAAGAGCATATTAGGCTTGATATGGGTAGGGGGTGGGGGTTGTATTTGGAAGCCTCTGAAGAGTCCATGTCCTCCTTTGGTTTTGAACTCTGAGAATGTAGCAGGGGCATGGCCCTCTCAGGAGTTCTGTTTTGCTCTGGCAGTCTCTCTTCTCCCTCAAAAGAAGGCTGTTTTGGTTCCATGGTAGAATGGGATTTGGTGAAAAAGATAACCAAAGGAAAATGGATTTCATTTAAAGAATCTAAGCCAAGGGAGTTAAAAAAAACACTTCAGCTGAAGGTACTTTATTTCTTACCGACATAGTTTAGGCTTCAGCATCTCACTAGCTCTTCCCTCTAAAGAAGCATTAGGTTCAGAAACCAACAAAATGTTTGTTAGCAGACCAAGGTCTGATGGAAGAAGGCGGCACTAGTAGCTCAATGCACATTTCTGTACCAAAACTTGGGGGAAAAAAACCCTAGAATTTGTTAACAAACACTAAAATTGGTCAGTGTAACTTCTGCCCTGCTCTTGTTTCTCAGAGATGAGGAATAGCATTCTTTTTGTGGGGATGGTGAGCTTTTGATTTACAAAATGAAGTTGGTTGTGTGGTGATTCCTTAGCCTAAAGAATGATCTGTTGTTTGAAACCTTTGTAATTTCTTTGTATGAGTAAAGAAAAGGTGCAATCCAGTGCTTTTAGATGCTTGATATACCAAATAACAATATAGAATAGCATTCTTACATGTGCTTCCCCACATCTAAAGGCTCTGTAGAAACAGTAACCATGGTTTGATTTCCCTTCATCTCCCCCTCCTTTGCTGGATAGGATTTAGGGAGCCATAGGTGGCTAAGGGGGAGAGGGGTCAGACTGTGGTCAGGGACCTCAGTAAATCACAGACCCAGGGGCCCTGGTTTCCAGGGTGAGGGTCATACCACATTACACATGTGCTTCCATACAGTGGTTTCTGAAGCTTTTGCAGAGAGGAGAAGATGGCTTGGAGTTTAGACTGTTAATAGAAGCCATCTGGAAGCTTTTTGCTTTTCCTTTTTTGTTATCCTGCCATTAAGGCAGTGTGCACATTCTGCCCTCATGCTCCAGTGGCCTTGATTTTAGGCCAGGAATCTTCTGCTCCATGTGATTTAAGCCTTCCAGCTGAGTGAAGCCAGGCAAATGGAGTGGGAGGCAGGCATCTACTGCTGCCTCTTTTATGCCCCACACCCATCAGTCAGCACTCATTTGACAAATACAGCCCAGCTGCCTCTAAGCCAATCCTGGAATCATAATAGGCTCAGAGTGAGTCAGCTGTTTGAGCCCAAAGCTGTGCAATCAGGCATCCTGGCTGAGCTGAAGAAGCCAGTACCTGGGTCTTGGTTCATAACACAGCTAGGAAAGCTCTAGTTTAGGGAGTGAAAGAAAAACAAATATTACTTTCCCTTATCTTGGTGACAGGGTCTAGAATGGACCATAATAAAGACATAGATATAGATTAAAATTTTTGGAAAAACCTCCATAAGTTACTAGTAATGAAGATAGGAAGGAAAAGGCATATCTTTGGATTTCTTGGCTCTGTTGCAGTTTCAGGATTGGGTGAGACAGACACATGAACCCCCCTCCAATGTTACTGTTCTGACTTAAGCCCTTAACTGAGAGCCAGCACATCCCTTTCCCAAACTGCCAGATTGAAATCTTGCTGAAAGTTTTACTGAGTTATGGCAGGCTAACTGCTGCTGGGCACACCTGGATGGCTTTGCACCTGGTGTTGAACCTTCTTAAGCAGGTGGATACTCAAGATTGGGTGTAAGGAATGCCTCTTATCTGGCATTAAAATTTTAGTGTTCTGAATCTCTTTTAAAATAAAATGGGAAAATGGATACACGCCTGCAATTTTGAGCAATGTGTCTGCACTTTGTTGGGCAGACATTGAGGGTGTGCAGGGAGTGAGCGAGCACTATCTTATTAGCTACACTTGGCTGGTTTGGGGGAAAGGGCTGCTTTTTTCAGTCCTAGATTCCTGCCCCCCCCCCCCCCTTTATTCTTGAATTCATTGTTTTGTGGGATCTAAGACCCAGGGATCGTTTGAAAAGTTGGAAGGTATCTTTTCTGATCAGTTGACACATGATTTGCTTGATTCTTAGCCAGTGGAAATGGCAAAGGGACCAATCCACTAACCGCTAGGCCCAGTGTGTGTGGAGGGCCCAGTATATTGCTCCTTTACTCCATGGCTTGAGAACAAGTCTTGGCCACCTCCACATCAGTCTAGCTCTGTTCTGTCCCATGATCTGGGCCCTGGGACTCTCTCTCTTGGCATCTTAACTGCAGTCTTACTGAGGCAGAAGGAAAGGGACAAACCAAGACCAGAGGGGCTCGTTATTCTCCTGGCTAGAGAAGCCAGCCACCAACATGAAAGCGGCTTGGGGCTGGCTAGACACATGTCCTACGTTTGTCTTTTTCAGGTGGAGCTTTCATTACACAACAGTGCTGTTTCCACCTGGCCATAGATGCCAAACCTTGGCCATGGTTCAGGCATGGATAGATTTCCTGTGTTCTAACCACTGATCTGGCCAAGGATGAGGACTTCCTAACACCTTTACACCTCCCTTTCTAAGCCTTGATGGGATCTCCCACTTGCTTTGGACCTCATGTGCTCTAAAGAAGCTTTGAGAGCCAGTGTCACATTTTCCATGGGTCTTCTCTTCTTGCTGCAAGGAACCAGTCCCATGCATTCTCTTGGGCCACAAATTATACCTGGGCAATTCTTGGTTTCTAAGGTGGTCTCTACTGCCAGTTTAGACCCCAGAGTAGGTCTCTGTGAGGCTACAACAGCCTCAGAAACCAGAAGGTGCAGATGGGGGCCAGCCTGAGTCCTCTGCTGCCAACTGCTCAACCTTGCTCTAGCTCCAGCCACTTGTGACAAACCTTGTTTCCTTACAAATTCCAGCATGTGACGTTGGTGCCCTCTTGTTACTTGTGAAAAACCTATTCTTCTGTTGTCTTTGATGTAGTCAAAAAAATCCATGTAGTTTACATAAACTATCTGATTCACAGGGAAGCCAACTGTATGTCTTGTGTTGGGACAGTTCATAATGTAGCTCCTAGACCACTTTTGCAAATTGTTCTTGTCACCATATGTGTTCAGACATTGCTGTGCAGTTGTGGGGGGAGGGTGGGGGGAAGGTGAGGGAAGATACTTTTTGATCTTTTTGTTTTTTTACCTTCCCCAAGAGGGGACAGTCTGGCCAACTTGCTCCAGTAATGCAATAAAAACATTGCAATAACACACCTTCTTGTCTTCATGCTGTGGAGGTGATTTGGGGGGTGATGGGGCAAGAGAGAAAGAAGAGGACTTGGGTGTTGAAAAGCCTTTGAAACTTTCAAACCTTCTCTCCAATAAGCAACAAAAGACCAGTCCTATTGTTGAACTGGAGCCACCAGAGGCTCTCTTCCTCCGCTGAAGAAATGGACCCTGATAGGCACAATGCCAGAGTCCTGTCCACCCACCACAGGACACAGACTCAGATACTGACTCTGAGAAAATTAAATCTGAGACCATTTCCCACCCACCCCACCCACTCCCGATGACTAGTAAGCCCAACTTATTGGTTTTCATCATATTTCTGCCCAGAAATAAAAGGACTCAGTCTTACAGTCTATTTGTAAGACTAATAAGATAGTCTTACAGTCTATCTTATTAGCCCCAGGCCTTTGTCACTTGCTTGCCAAAGTACTTTTTTTTTTTTTTTTTTTTTTTTCCTTTTT